CAAAATTTACCCCGGAACTTAGTTCGTTAAAACTTCCCTCGCTTAAACAAAAGCAATTATTAGCGCGTCGGGGAGGGCGAGGCCGAATTTTCGGAGCCTACAATTGTATCCCCTGATGAGGTGACTCGGAATAATTCTAATTTAGTTTTGAATAATTCTGATGGTGATGTGGATACTCTCAAGGTAGAAGTGATTCAATTGGGTTTACTACCTGAATTAAACCCCGATGTAATTGAACCAAAATCCATTGATCTTAGGATTATAATCATACCTGATCCTATTGAGAACATTTGTATGAATTTGGAAGATAGTGAGTTGACCATAAGTGGTTTTGAGCCTAATTGGAGAAATGAATCTCCTCGTGTTTAATTAGAGTCTATTTTAGGAGTTGATCATTTAGATTTACGTTTGAAAGAGTGTGTCTTTCTTGATTAGACTTATCTCACCATTCCTCGTACCAACTTTGATGCTAGAGAGAGTGTTTGCCCATACTTTCATGGCATCTCTCTAACTGTTGTGCCCACTTTTGTTCTAGACACTCTACCCCATCTTTTGAGTCCAATACCTTTTGGTGACTCCTTGGGCTATCCCATTATGGTTGTGAGTCAGGACCCATCATCTTATCTTGTTCCCGAGTGATCCATTTTGTCCGCTATTTTCTTGGTCTTCCCTATTAAGGACCATCTCTCTCTCCTAGTTGAATGAAATTACTCGATTACACTGCTACCCCTAGGAGACTATCTATAACCCTAACTGAAACTTCCTATAGAAATGTCCTTGTAACTAAGGATGTCTTCATTGCTCCTCCTACACCAATTCCCTTAGATCTGAACACTTTATATCCTCTCATTTTGTGACTGATCCATCTTTATTCCATCTATGTGTGCTTGTGAGTATGTATGTTTGTGCATGTTTTATGTCGAAATTATCTTTGTTTAAAACTTCTGTGTGAACCCACAATTCTTGTCATTCATCATACACACTAGGTCTCTTGCATCCACATTTGCATCTCATCTTCAAGAATTGCTTAAGGAGATTAATTATAAAATTGAGTTAAGTAATGCTAATTATAAGCTTAATGCGGATCCTAAGTCAAGATTTAAAGAATTCAAGGTTGGCGATTTTGTTATGGTATGGATTTGTCTGGAGCGGTTCTCACAAGGAACCATTAAAAAGTTACATGCTAGAGGCGCAAGCCCATTCAAAATAATATCCAAGATAAATAATAACGCATTATGCCATACCTTCCCGAAAGTTTCAACTTTAATCCTACTTTTAATATCGAAAATGTAGTAGCCTTTGAGGGACCATAGTTTAACCCTGCAAATCCAATAAGTATTGAGCCTTGTGTGACTATACCTAGTGAGGCCCCTAGCCTACCTCCACTCTCAAATATTCATACTTTATCTATTGCGGAGGAGATGGAAGCAATACTTAGTGATGAAATCATATCCACTAAAGATGGTGGGCGCCAAAGGTACTTGGTCCAATGGAAAGGGAATCTAGAGACGGAGAACACGTTGATGGATTGCGAGGAGATACAGAGATTGGACCCCGACCTTTTGGAGCTATACGAGAGTTCACGGGATACATAGTCGACAGGGTCGAGTTTTCTCCCACCCAGGGAGAATGATGAGAACATCCACCAGAGATTTTGACATACTTATCACGGCAGGATCGTAGATCGAATGCTACGATTCATAATTTCTTTTATGATGTTTTAGTGCATTTATTTTAATTATTTTTTTTCAGTTTTCCACTTATACCCCTATGAGGGATTTGTGTCATGTTGTAGCTTGAGGGCATTTATTTCTTTTATATTTTGTGCTTTGGAGGCCTATATATAAAGGATTAGTCTTTGTATTATTTTCTAATGATGAAATATGAAGAAAATTTCAGTTTTTTTAATCTCTTTGTGAGTTCTTGAGAAGAAACTCTAGGTGGGCGAAAGCAATACCTATCAACCTTTAGAGAAGTCCAAGGTTCGCGGTTCTACGATCTTTTTGTGAGTTCTTAGTTCTTTATTTTAGTCTTCATCCTCCTCTTCCCCTATACCTCCGGCAATCCCCTACCTTTCTCTCCAAACCGATAGCCTCAACCCCTCCCCTTGATTCCCCACTACCTGTCGCCCCTCCACCTAACAAGCCGCCGGCCACTTCATCAACCTGGCGGCCGACCCCACCCCCTTTCCCTTTTGCCACCGGCCTCCCCTCTTGCTCCCATTCAATTATGATGATTTCAATCATCATAACTCTATTCCTAAATTAACGCAAGCAACTAAGGGAGAGATTTAAGTCAATTTGAATTTCAAATACTTTCCATATTTAAAATCCAAATAAGGAAAGTTTTAGTCATGAATTCAATTTAACAATTAATTAAATTGGATTTCTTATTTACTTTCCTAGTTTACAAAGATCTATTTGGAAACTCCAAAATCTCTTTATAATCCCTCTCTCCCCTCATGAAGCCGTCGTCCCGATTAATGGGCATCACCATGGTTTTACCTAATAAGGCCCTAGCTCTCATTTGAATTTTGAATTCAAATTTTGAATTCTAGTTCTTCCCTCCATCCCATTATTTCCTTTAATTAATTACCCTCTTTGGATAATTAATTCCAAAAACGAGAAATTAAAACCTCAAATCCCCTCCACTAACCCTAGCCGTCCCTTCCCTCATCCTTCCTAGCCCAAACCGCCACCCCTCCTCTCCCGACCACTGAACGCCGGACCTCCCCCTTCAAGGCATACAACAAAGAGTCCTCCCATGTCCATGTATGGCGGATCGGGAAGTTGATCACAAATTCATTTACAATTCTCAAAAGGAAATTGACATCATTCAATCACCTTTCTTCGATCTCGGATTTGGATCCGAAGGCACCATCAAAGAATACGTGGAGCATATTCTCTTCACTTTGGCGGACGTCATCGAAGAGCAACAATCCACAGGATCTTGGATGATCGTCGGGCGACCACCCGTCTCTCCAACTCTGGCCAAATCTCCGTCGATCAAAACCGTCGGCATCATCTGTCACACGTCATCGAAGAGCAACAACCCACAGGATCGTGGAAGATCGTCGGACGACCACCCGTCTCTCCAACTCCAGCCAACTCTCCGTCGATCAAAACCGTCGGCATCCTCTGTCTTTCAGTGGCGTCACTGGGTTTACTAACCTTCATCCTCCGCTAACCCTACTTTGAAAGAGCGATCGAGAGGAAAACTCGAAGGTGAAAGTTCTATTTGTTAAGTACTTAATTATTGTTAATTGAATATTTGTCTTGCTATCTTCTTGTTATTATCTTGAATCGCTCTGTTAATCTATCGTGTAATCTCATGCTATAAGCAAGTCAATAATTACGAAAACTGAAAATCCTAACTTAGTGAAACATTAACCTTATAAATTCATTGCTAAAACAAATTTCTTAATAAAATCCTGCAATTTCGTTGGTTGTTTCACATCAGGATCGCTCCATTTTTTAGAGCCAGCCATGTGCGTCCTCGCCCTCTAAGATGAGCATCTTCAGCTTCTTCACCTTTGGGACACCCCAATTTTCCTGGAATCCTTCATAGCCTAAAACAAATCTGAATGGGGAAGGGAGTGATCTTCAAGCTTCTAGGATGATGGGGGTTCTAGGAGATTAAGGGGGAGGAATGAATGAATATTACATTGAAATAAAGCTTAGTTATTGGCTATATAAATAAGCTCTTATACCCAAATATGTAAGGCACCTTAGTGGAGTTTTGTTAGGAACTCCATAGTTGTATGCACTCATAATGAAGCACTCTTGGGATAGATAACCTTCTAAGTTGTTGTTCCAAGGATAAAATTGTGAGGTTTGGCCTGATATGAGATGGGTTCGGCTAAAGAAGATAATACCTCGCATAGTATGGGTTGTGTCGTTACACCCAAGATGTCCTACATCTCCCTCCCCCATAAATGTTCTTCATGGATTTTGGTCATTAGTTCAACTGCTGTTGAGTTCTTCATTTGTGGTCGTTACTTCAACTCAGAATCTTACTTGTGGTTAGTGGTTCTAGTAGGAGGCTTCCACTACATTATTTGGTGGAATATGAGCTTGACCCTAGCCGGTCAGGCTTGACTGACCTATATTGGGCTAGAGTGATTTTGCCTTCTCTATCTATAAGAGTACACGTTTTAGATATCTCTGATCTATTGTTCAGAGTGATGGAGAAATAGATGGGGATATTATTAGTAGAATTCAAGTTGGATGGTTGAAATGGAGGAATGCATCAGGCTTGTTGTTTGATAGAAAAGTCCCCCTCAAACTTAAGGAAAAATCTTATAAGATGATGGTGAGACCTGCAATGCTTTATGGTGCCGAATGTTGGCCATTAATAGAGAAGCATTATACTAAGTTAAGTGTTGCAGAGATGAGGATGCTTAGGTGGATGGTTGGTTTTACCCTTAAAGATAGGATATGAAATGAACATATACGTGAAAAGGTTGGAGTAGCTTCAGTGGAAGATAAGATTAGACAGAGTCGCCTTAGATGGTTTGGTCACATAAAATGGTGGCCTTCCAATGACCTGGCTAGGAAAGTAGAGGTATTAGATTTGACTTATGTTAAGAAAGATAGAGGTAGACCTAAAAAGACTTGGTTAGAAAATATTAGAAATGATCTTTCTTTTTTAGATTTAAAAAATTTGACTTTTAATCGGACACAATGGAGAAAAAGGATTCATGTAGCCGACCCCAAATAGTGGGACAAAGGCTTGATGTTGTTGTTGTTGTTGTACCTATAGGAACCCAAGTAGCCTAATATTGGTTTTCTTTCCGGCTTGAGGAGGTTTGAACCGGGATTTATGGGATCTGTCAACTGTCTCTTAAACATGTCTCGATCAGATATTTGGATTATTTTCAAGGTAATGAAGCTTAATTATAAAAGGAAGTTATACATGTGCTGAAGGTAAAATCTCTTTGGCTGCAATGTATACTGTTCAACGTTGCATTTTGCATCCCTCTAATATGATACATAATGCAGATGACTGCTCAGACAAAGGACCAGGAGAAAGCTACTGATTTGATGAAGAAAAAATTTGAGGATAGGTTATTGAATGAGCAGGAAGAACACAAGGGACAGCTTAGAAAGTTAAAGGATGAGGAAGCGTCTCTGTCAAGTCAATTAACTTCAGCTAAGGATGCAGTAGCAGCTTTAGGTCAAGAACTGCAAGATGAGAAAAGATTGGCAGCGGAGTTCTTGTCACAAAAAAGCCAACTTGAACATTCTTTCACGCAAGCTAGGGAGGATAAGAAATTACTTGAAGATGTGCTAAACGAAAAGGTAGACAGAATTACTGCTTTGCAGGATAAATTAAGCCTTCTTTCATTAGAAATAAATGAAAAGACGAAGAACATCCAAAACCTCAAATCATTGTTTGCTGAAAGAGAATCAGAATGTAAGAATTTGAGCACTACCATGGAAGAAGCAAGGGCAGAACTTGCAGCAGCAAATTCCAGCATTGAGCAGTTGAAAGAAGACATCATCATGGCTACAGAAGAATCCAATTCGAAGAGTTCAATTATAGATGATCTACATGAAAACATAAAGTCACTAACTGAAGAAAAAAATGATTCTAGTAGCAAATTTTATAATCTTATGAAAGACTACAATGATTTGGTTTCCTACTCAGAGAGAACAACTGTCCTTAATTCTGAATTATTGTCAAAGAAAGATGAACAGCTCCAACAACTTGAAGAACATCTTAAACATGCATTGAGTGAAGGAAGTTGCCAGCAAACACTGATATCTGAGTTGACACGAGAAAGGGATAATTTGAATGTGCTGCTGGAGAAGGAAAGGAATGATATGTATAAATTAACAACTGAGCTTCAGAGCGCCAGAAAACTGTTAGATACTTCAAAAGCAGAGGTTTCTCATCTGTCCAAAGAACTGACGGAAGCCAGAAATTCCTATGAGGAAGTAACGTCTAAGATTTCAAAGATGCAAGAAGAGTACGTTCAAGCAAGGAAATTGCTGAATAATAACCTGGATGAGACAAAGGCTACTTCAAAGATTCTTTCAGATAAACTTGAATCAGCTATGGTGGTCCTTAAGAGTACGGAGGAAGAGCTTGTTTCTGCATCCAATGAATTGAAAGCTGTCATCGAGGAGCGTGAAAGCCTTAAGAAAGAACTGGTTGATTCCTACAGGAAGTTCGAAACAACTACAAATCAGCTGCAAGAAGAAAGGAAGATAGTTACCAACTTGAACAAAGAGCTTGAGGCATCGCGCAGGCAAATTCTGAAAGATTCAGAAGCACGGAAAAGTCTTGAAGCTGATTTAGATGAGGCTACCAGATCACTTGATGAAATGAATAGAAATGCGTTATTGCTGTCAAGAGAACTAGAGAATACTAATTCTAGAAACGCTAGCCTAGAAACAGAAAAAGACATTCTCTACAATTCTCTGGTTGAACAAAAAAATATATCAAAAGATGGGCTTGAAAATATTGAGGATGCTCAAAATCTCATTACCAGGCTTGGTGGTGAGAGAGAGAAGCTAGAGAAGAGGTCTAAAAGGCTTGAGGAAGATCTGGCAGCTGCTAAGGGTGAAATATTGAGATTGAGGAGGAAGATTAGCGTAGGCCAAGAAACCGTGACCGAGTATCATCCAAATTCTAATGAAGTTCCAGCGGGAACACCATTCTCTGTCAAAAGAAACTCTGGTAGAAGAAAAAAGCGATCAATGGGTTCTGATGATTCTTGATAGCATTGTTTGATTACGTCAACCCGCACATAACCATCCATTGGTCGGAGCCTTGTGCACTTGGTGCACACCTTTTTTTTTGGCTGTTTTAGTGATTATTTATGTCAATATTATGATTTTCAGATAAATTTCCCTGTTTTCTGTAAATTTTGGCTGGGTTGTGTTATCCTATTTTGGCTGGGTTGTGTTATCCTACAGTAATTATAATTGCCAGGAATTTAACTATGTGATGTTTCCTTCCCTTTAAGGCTTGTTAAAAATTCTTCTGAATGACGAAAAGATTGCCCTAAATTGTGAAAAGTTGGTGTTTAAGCTATTACTTTTTTCTTTGGAAACGTGCTTCTTATTGCTGCACCTTTCTATACGATAGGCCAATCAAATATATAAATTACACATTGTTCAAAGGACGTGATCAATGAAGTCAGTATTTTATAATTTCTTTTGAAAACAAATGCAAATGTGCATCTTCGAACTAGTCTTCTTAAGCTGGACCACGTCTCTCAATAGTTAACTAACAGATCGTCAGGTTCTTGTGATGAGAAATCAAATAATGATATAGCTCATAAGAACTTGCTGCTTTGGATTTGATGATTGATATTGTCCTAAAATTAAGCTTTTTGTGAAAAAAAAAGAGAGGATTTAGCTCGGTCTATTTTTTTCTCCATTTGCGTATAAGTATTCCTTCCCAAACCAGATTAGTGTTTATGAACACTGAAATATAGATTATTGTCTATTAGCGTTGGAATCTGGATTATAATTTTTATTAGCACTCAAATCTAGATTTGGTCTCTTGTTTGAGAATAAGGAGTGACTGTTGATTGCAAAGTATCCAACTTTGTTGTTCAAATAATCTTACCTAATGTGTACAACTGTATTATCATATGATAGCTTCGGAGTTTAATGCAGACTGATGGGTGAAAGATATGCGAAAATCCAAAATAGTTAATACATGCAGGATATCATTAATAATTCAATTATTTTATTTCAAGTCATTTGAATATTTCTATAATTTGGAATCACTATTATCTTCTCATATAAAACTCTGATTGTCAGATCCTAAGACTTGAATGATAAAAATAGAGGGTTGTACGAGGTAGTCAGCAACTAATGTAAAATTTATCGAATAATCATGGCATGAATCTTTTAATATATTACATTAATGTTAGATCGTTCCCTGAAAGCGACGTGCTGTATGACATGAATATAGTGAGAAGTTCGTAGGGATCATTGCACTAGCACCCGAGTGAAGTGTTTAAATAGGCAAAAAATTTAGCTTTTAATGATTTGTATAATATAGTAGATATTAAAAAGGGCAAAAGATATATGCATAAGTTAGTCAAGCAAAGACATATCATAAGGATTTAGTTAAAGTGAAGTGCATTAAGGATGAAGATCAAAAATGTTGGATGAGATGTTTTGATAAACTTTTCAATGAAGATTGTAAAAACACGATTGATTTAGTGACCTTAGTATCCTAAATAAAAATAGAGCGATTTTTATTTTTTATCGGCATATTAGTAAAATCGAAGTTATAGAGGTTTTAAAAAAAATGAAGTGTGAAAAAGTTGTTGGACCTGATGATATTTTAATAGAGATGTGAAAATGGTTGGAGATTTCAAATTTTTTTATTTACGAAATTATTCAATATTATTTTCAAGACTAAAATATGTTAAATAAGTGGAGAAAAAGTATGTTAATTCCTATTTCTATGAATAAAGATGATGCACAAGAATGTATGAATTATAGAGGAATTAAGTTAATGTGTCATATTTTGACTATGGGAGAAAGTTATTTTAGCTTAGGTTACAACTTGATACTAATGTTTCTCAAAATCAATTTGGATTCATAACAGATAGTTTTACAATGGAAGCTATACATTTATTGAGAGGTATGATGTAGAAATATAGAGAGAATAATAATAATCTACTTATGATATTTATAGATTTAGAGAAACCACATGATAAAGTTCCTAGAGAAGAATCATGGAGAGTTCTAGAAAAGAAAGGGACTAATAATGCTTATATTCAAGTCATTAAAGATATATGCATGACCTATTAATTGTGTTCAAACACAAGGTGGTTTGACTAAATTTTTGCCTATTTCAGTTGGATTAAATTAAGGATCAGCCTTAAGCCAATATCGTTTTGTTAGTCATATATATTTTTACTGGACATTTGCAAGAGGATGTACCCTAGAGCATACTTTTTGCTTATGATATTCTTGTTGGTAAGACTACAGAGGGAGGAACGTAAACTTGAATTATGGAGGTCAACCTTAGAGTCTAAAGGTTTTCAATTGAGTAGATATAAAATCAAATACATGGAGTGTAATTTTTGTAAATTAGTGGAAGGATTATGATTTGGGCGATAAATTCATTAATAATTGTACACATTTTAGATGTCTCAGGTCTATGTTTAGAGTGATGGTGAAATAGATAGTTATATTATTAGTAGAATTCAAGTTGGATGGTTAAATTAAAGGAATGCATTGGGCATGTTGTGTGATAAAAAAGTACCCTCAAACTTAAGAGAAAATTCTATAAGATTGTGGTGAGACCTGCAATGTTTTATGGCACAAAATGTTGGCCATTAAAAGAGAAGCATAAAATTAAGTGTTGCAGAGATGAAGATGCTCTGGTGGATGAATGGCTTTACTCTTAGAGACGGAATATGAAACGAGCATTTACGTGAAAAGATTAAGTAGCTCCAGTGGTAGATAAAATTGGAGATAATCACTTTAGATGTGGTCACATAAAATGTCGGCCTTTCGATAATTCGGTTAGTAGAGTAGATGTATTAGATTTGACTTATGTTAAGAAATGTAGAGGTAGACCTAAAAAGAATTAGTTAGAAACTATTAGAAATGATATTTCTTTATTAGATTTATATAAGATTTTGACTCTTAATATGGCACAACAACAACAACCAGCTTTTATCCCACTATGTGTGACCGACTTATTTTTTTATGTGGGAACTCTTAATATGACATGATTGAGAAAAATGAATCATGTAGCCAATCCCACATAGTGGGATAAAGGCTTGATGTTGTTATTGTTGTATTATCTTCTCATATAATTAGATTCATTCATTGTAAATTTTAATGGATTTAATTGATGGTCAAAAGATCTTAAAAATTGTTGAAATTGTGCATGCAATTATTTTTATGAGGAATGGAATAGAACGATTTGATCATAAATTTGATGTTTATGATATTTATGTTTATATATATATAATTGTTGTATTATCTTCTCATATAATTAGATTCATTCATTGTAAATTTTAATGGATTTAATTGATGGTCAAAAGATCTTAAAAATTGTTGAAATTGTGCATGCAATTATTTTTATGAGGAATGGAATAGAACGATTTGATCATAAATTTGATGTTTATGATATTTATGTTTATATATATATA